GAGATCAATTAGAAAAGATTTCCATGACGAATTATCTGCCTCCTCATTGATCATGAGATTATTGGAGAGATATCTCCTTGAAGCAAGCCGGTCGTTTATATAGTTCCTCGTACCCCTCGATGCATCCCTCCAGGGCGGCAAGCAGAGAGACTCTCGAACTTGCCTTATATATTGGCTTTCCATAGTCCCGAACGACGACACGGCGATGAATCCGGTTAGGCATCGGTTCGTGGGTACCAGCTTTCGTTGGAGAAATCGACTGCCGTTTGCTCGGCGGCAGCGGCGAATCGATCGAAGCGGAGGAACGTTTCCGACAGGTGACGCTGCTCCCTCCGTCCTTCCTCCCTGCGCGAGAGCCCTTTCTGCTCAACGCTGGCCTGGAGCCACTGGCTCTGTAGTTCCCTGCCTTCGTGACATCTAGGCCTTTCCGAACGGCGTTGCAGATATCGTCGTCATTTTCCCTCACGCAAACCGTCTCGTGGTGGTAGTACCTCGCCACATTGTTCACTCCCTTCTCCGTTACCTCCCGCAGCAACGCTCCCTCCTCCTCACGCTCAGGGTACTGCCACGAATCTTTGATGACGAGAGGCATCCTGGACTCATCTCCATCTAGATGTGCCTTCCAGCAGGTCGTCGCCCGCCCGGCGACACAAGGAGCCCGCTTCACCACCTCGTCAAAGATAAGTCTTTCTATCTGGCCGTCTCTCTCTATCTCGATGTAACGCGAACCGTCGGCGGAGTCGATGATCGTCGGGTCGAATCCAAGCTGCTCTCTGCTCATGCTGAGGTACCCAAGTATCACCGATACAAACTGAAAGCCCTCCTTATTGATATCAAACGACTTGGACGCTATCCCGCCCAGACGGTCAAAATTCCAGAGCCTCATCTTTGATCTGCAGAGGGTGAAACCCAACACGGAACTGCGGGAGTCCTGGGCCGTCATTACCTCCCTGACGTACCTCCCCAGGTCAAGCCATGCCTTTGACGGGACATCGTACGAGGTGTCGTTCTTCAGCTCTCCCGGCACCAGGATCTGTGACCAGTGGCAACTGGCATCCTCGCTGGCGTTGGAGTCGTTCACAAAACCTATGTCCAGCTTGCGGTCTGCGGTGGAACCTTCGAGGGGTTGGTACGGCTGCGCGAGTAGCTTTCTTTGAATCTTTTGGTCGCGTGCATATTCCTCGAAGAAGCGTATGAAGTTGTCGATAAGGGCTGACAGCCATTGCAACACATCTAGTTCCTTGGCGCCTTCGGGCCACCCTCTCCAGCCAGTCTCCTCGCTGTAAAAAGGATCTTCACCTTCCTTGCATTTTGCGAAAACCGCCTGGGCTGCAGGCTCTAGCCACTCGATGGTTCCAAAATATTTCTCGTAGAAACCCGGTATATCCGCATACATCATAGCACCGAGCTCCTCCTTCAACACCGCGTCGACGTGTTTCCTGTACTCGGTCGAGTTGACAAAGCTACTCGTATTCCGTAGCAAGGGAGTTTGGAGGAGAGGTAAGGGCAAGCGAGGAGGGGGAGTAGTCTCCGTAACAGCATCGTAGACTTTGTTCCAGATTGTTTCATCGGGTTGTTCGTCGTGGATCGCTTTCAGAAGTGGACGTAGACGATTAATTTCAAATAGGCTCGAGCGAACTTCTGAAAGAAGCGCCAATAGATCGTCAAAAAGAGTTCCATGTCCTCTGCCAGAAGGAAGCTCAAAACAAACAGGATGGGTTTGTAGAACCGCCAATAATTGAAGCAGTCGCTTCTCTATTTTGTCAGCACCGTCATCTGAATGCTCAGCGCTAAAACAATTGTACAAATCGCGATATTCTTCTAGTCGGCTGCCGATAGGATGAAAGCTAATTATCTCCGATTTGGAGGACGCCATAACATAATAGAGATGAATGGCGGTCAGATAATTTTCTAAATGTTGTGAAGTTGTAGCCACGCCAGGACCATAACAAGGGCAACCTGGAATGTGCCTTTGCCTCTCCCTCTTGGGGCGCTCCTAGTCATGTGATTGAAAAATGTGGGATGGTTAATCTGTTGGGCACTAGTTGCCCAGGCGGCCCTCCACCGCACGTGATTACCCCTATATAGTTAGCTAGCGATCGCACACTGAGAAGATCAACCATCCCACAGAAACCGCCAAATAATTAATTTTTTGTTATATAAGGGTCTTATCTCCAGGCTAATCTTTTCTCTCTTTCTTTCCTTCTTTCTTATTTTTGTTCCTCCTTGTTAAAACCTGGAAGGGTGCGAAGGGTCTGTAACGTACGCGTAAAAGTCGAGGGCCTTGGATACCAGTTAGCATCGATAGGTTTCCCCCAAGCAAAACGAATGGGAGGACGTTGGCAGCCACACCAGCCCCTGTCTTGGTGCGGCTTGGCGCCGCTACCAAGTCACGTGGATTGCCTAACCCCAGCCTGTCGCCTTCTGGCGACCCCCCAATTCCCTTCCACTTTGCGGAGGAACATCGTGCTGGCACAACTATGCGATGTTACAACCGTGAACAGATACCCTCCTCAGCACCTTCGGCTCATCGTGATCCAATTATGGACAGAAACCAAGCACTCCAGCC